GTAGAGCCCCTGCCTAGAATCCCCCAGTGAGGGGCTGGGGTGTGGCTGGGGCAGAATCTGGGTGAATATTCACAGAGCCCAACACAAAGAAACAATTCAGCACACTCCACAGGTCATCTGACAGCCCAGCGCCGGGTATTGGAGGGCAGCCTGAACTCCTTAAGAATATATTCTCAAAGACAACAAACAAAATACATCAAAGTAGGACGGGGCATATTAGCTTCAGCCAAAGGGAGGAGTGGGTAAGGATAATGGGGCTAATATAATCAAAGTGCATTTTTAATCATATCTGTTCATGTGTGTATGAATTAGGGAAGAAGAAATACATTTTTAAAAGAACAGAAAGCCTCTGTAGGCTTGGACTCCTTCCTCCAGGTTCCTGCAGGCTGCAGCCACGCCTTGCCCTGGATTCTGCCACCCCCCCACCCCACCCCCACCCCCGCTCATCAGGCTTCCCTCCCACCCTTTGTGGTAGGCCTGTGGCTGGCGGGAGTATAGCTGGGATGAGGAGCCCGGGCCGGGGTGGCCCCAGGAGTGCCGTAGTCTTGTGTGTACCATCTGCTGAGGTGTGGCACCTGGAAAGTATATTTGTCACCTCAGCCCTCCTAGGGTCTGGTGACTTCCCAGCCCTTCAGTGTGCAGGTCAACAGCCAACAGCCTCCTTGCCTCAGCTCCCTGAGCTGTGCCTGCGCTTCATCACGGGCTCTCGCTGCTGCGCGTGAATGAGTCTAAGTCAAGAACTCTAATAACTACAATGTCAATAGCTACCATCGGCTGAAGTCCTCATCACTGTGAGCCAGTAGCTGTGTTTCTTGATTCAAATCTGATCACACCTGGGACTTCCTGTGTGTCTGTCCAACTTGCCATGTCCTGCTGTGCAACCTCAAGTGAGTCACTAGACCTTTCTGTGTCTCTGTTTCTTCATTGGCAAAATGGGCGGAACGACAGGGTGGACTCTTTCTAAGGTGGATGAGGGGACAGGATGGCTTACCCCGTTTCCAGGCTGGAAAGAATGAGAGCAAGGCAGGCATCATAACTGGAGCGTGAGCACCACTGAGCGTGAGCACCACTCCAGGGGGCGGAGGCTCTTAGTTTCTGAGTCTGAAGGACAGGGAGTATGGAAGTGTGCGCGGGTCTAGCCTGGGAGTATGGGGGTACCAATGGCAGCACACACAGGTCATATGGCACAAGCTTGTGTAACATCTTTTGGGCGGTAGAAGCAGGAAGATCAGAAGTTCAAGGCCAGCCTGGGCTACTTATAGACTTTGTCTGGAAACAAAACAAAGTGAAACACAAAAGCCCCTAAACAAAAGCAAAATAACGAAGAAGCCGGTAGTAGCTCATCCAGGGCTGCTGGGGGTGAGATCCGGGTTGGGGGCTCCAGGCCCCAGATCTGCTCACAAACTCCTCCTTCTCTTTGTTAGTGAAATGGGTTTAAGGCGCCCTTCTGGCACCAAAATTCCCGATTAGGGATGGTCTCCACTCAGGGCTAACCAGACCGGGGTGGGGATGGGCCACAGACAGGAAGTGGCCTTGGGTATCTGGCCCTACAGGTTCCTCACGCCCCAAAGTCCTGCCTCCTCCGTGCCCCATCCTTTCTGGGGGAGGAGGCCGGGAGGGACAGTCACCCAGAGTAGCTCAGTCAGGGGCTACCGCCTCCAGGCTCCATGGGTCGCCCACCTCTGACATCCCTGCTTCTGGCCTCACCCTGACCTATTTTGCTTTTCGGAATAACAAAAATGTCTGAGTACTTGAGAAGTGTCTCAGGAGAGGTGAAGACGTGCCAGAGGCTAGACCCCTGCCCATTCCCGGCCCCACATGGGGCTAGCTTTAACTGGCTTCAGTCCGGCCGGGTCAGCCTTAAGGAGGAGGTTACACATCATTAGAGAGCCTGACTTAGCCCCAGGCGCCAGGGAAGGTCCTCAGATGGCCTTGGGGAAACTGGGGCAGAGGAGTGAGAAGCTGAGGGGGCACAGACTGAACCCCTTCTGAGGGAGGAGGACTGGAGCCTGGACTCCTGGGTCTGAGGGAGAACAGCTGGCGTCTGAACCCCTGGATCTGGGGAGGAAGGCTGTGAGCCTAGAACGCTAGGTTAGGAGGAGGAGGACTTTGCAAACTGGGCTCCTAGTCTGAGGGAGGAGGGCCCCCGGGGTTCGGATCCTTCCTCTAACACACCCTCTCTTAAATGCCTGATGACTTGTCCCACCCCTCCACCCCCAGTTAACCTGGATCCTAGGAACAGCGACCCAGTCACCCAAACCTTAGGGTTAGAGAAGACACAGACACAGGACAGAGACGCGCTCAGTGGCAGGATGGAAGCGGAGGGGTCCCAGAACTCTGAGGAGCTGCCACCGCCTGCACAGTCCCCACCACCACCGCCGTCCCCAAGGTCTCCCTTGTCCCCGGAGACTCCTGAACTCCCAGAGCCCAAGGCGCCCACCGAGGTCGAAGCCAGGCAGCTGCTGCTGGAAGAATGGGGACCCCTGAGCGGGAAGCTGGAGCTGCCACCGAGCCTCAGCTGGAGGCTGCTGTTCCTGGAGCGGCCGCTCTACCGCAACCTGCTCAGCTCACCCAACCCCGAAGGTGGGGACGCAGCTGGGGACACCTGGCGCGCTGCTCAGACCCTCGGTCTCTTCATCTTCCTCTGTGCTTCCTCGTCTGTCACTGCATGTCTGTGTTTCCGTATCTCTGTCCTACTCCGCATATGGTCTCGGTGCGTGTCTCACCCTGTCTCTCTCCCTCGCCTCCGTCTGTGTTTCGGTCCCTTTCTCTAGATTTCTTCTGGAGCTCCAGAGACTTACCATAACCGCCCACCGGCCTCCTTAGTCCCTGCTAGGCTGGTCTAGCCCGGCTTGGGTTCCTGCCCTTCCAGTCTAGCTCCAGGGGAAGGAAGACGGGAGGAGGTAGGCACTGACCTAAGGCTTGGCTCCCCTTTGTGATTCAGGCATTAATATCTACCAGCCGGCGCCCCCTACGGGTCCCACGCGGAAGCCCCTGACGGACCTGGGTAAGCGTTGGGGGCTCTGCCAGGGAGGATGGCGCCCCTCAAGGAATGATATCTCACCAACCAACGCTTCCTTCCTCCCCACCGGCCAGGTAATTTCCGTGGATGGTACATTACTACTGAGAACCTGCAGGGGCCCCTCAGGTGAGTTGCCACAGGGGTGGGGGTGGAATTCCGCCTTGCCTTCTCCAGCCTTCTTTGCAGTTCTCCTGCAGAGGAACCTCTCTTTCTTGCTCTGGTGACAGGGTTAGTCATAACAGAATCCCTATTAAACATGCAGCATAGGTGCCCAAGAAGTCTGGTCAGCACACAGTAGGTGTTTGATAAAACTTACTCTCATCCTCCTCTTTCCCTGGAAGGGAGTGACCTGGGTCCTCTACTGACCACAGTCCAGCTCCTGTATGGTGAATTCCAGGCAGGAGCTCTACCACTGAGCCACACCCAAGCCACTCACTGGGGGAGTCTAGGCAGGGGCTCTACCACTGAGCCAAATCCCTGTCCCTCACTGGGGTATTCTGGGAAGGTGTTCTACCACTGAGTCACACCCCAGCCTCTCACTGGGGGATTCTAGGCAGGGGCTCTACCACTGAGCCACACCCC